ATATTATAAATCTACCACTACTATAAATAAGTCTACGATTGCTAACCATCAATAAGTTTACCAACCACTTAATAAATCTACCAATCGCAAATAAATCTACAATCACATGAACGGTAGACTTATTCGCTGTTTCATTAATGACAGTTTCGTAAATACGTTGTTTGTCTTCAAAGGAAATAATGTTAAAACGGGTATAAAAAATCTTTGAAGGTTGTTTGAGTAATTATGAAAGATTAGCATCATTTTGGTCAAAAAAACATTTTTCAAAGTTGTTTTAGTAAACCTCCCGAAAAACAAAGAAGCAAAATGTTTAAATACCCTTAATCATTTTATCTTGATTATGAAAGCCACATATATCATGTACTATGTAAAAGATACATTTTCACATCACAAAATTGATGAACATTAATGAACCCCTTTTTTCTTTTTGTTTCCAGGATTGCTACCCAGAAAGACTAGGGAAACTCTATATAGTTCATGCCCCCTACATTTTCATGGCTATCTGGAAAGTGGTTTACCCATTTATCGACAACAATACGAAGAAAAAGGTACAATTCCGCATAACAGGGTTTTTTTTTTTATTACATATGATTAGGCTGTGTTGGGAAATTTGATTATTAATTCTTTTTGGGCAGATTGTTTTCGTGGAGAACAAGAAACTCACTGCCACTTTGCTTGAAGACATAGAGGAAAGCCAACTTCCAGACATCTACGGAGGCAAATTGCCACTTGTTCCTATTCAGGATAGCTAGTTGATTCATTAAAGCCCAGAGTTACTGTATTCCAAATTATTACTATTTTTTATATATGAATAAAATGAAAAACATTTTGAGTGCTGCCCAAATGTAACCAAGTTACCAAGATATAATTGAAACAACCCGACTCTTTTTTTTTTTTAATATTGGATTCGAATTAATGTTTTCATAAACATTAACTTTCAACATTCAATTAACTTAACAATAATTAAACAGCAAACAGCAGAAATCATAAAAATCTAATTCATTTCAACGATCAATCCAATAACCATTATCAATTGAAACAACCAATAATCAATTTCAACTCAGCAGTCTAAACCAATCCATAGAACCAACAACCTAACAGTTCTAAAAATTCATAACGAACACAAT